AAATAAAATAACAAATTATAATCATAAAGAAGACTTTAACTGATGTTCAAATATAGTGACATTGATTACAGTGAGCTAACTGATTTTGATAGATTTATTTCTCTGCTTACATATAAGAGCACGGCTCCGAAAATAATGCGTTCATTTAATTTTCTCGGTAACGTCTAACAGATACAAGGATAGCAATAAAACCACTGCATAGAGTCTTTTTGTCAGATACATAAAGCTAGTTGTCTGCATACTATATATTATCACTAGCGAGAACAAGGGCAGATATAAGGCGCTTGTAAATATCTGCACTAACGGAGGCAAACACACGCTTTTATAGCAGCGACGGTTTCTGTTTGATTCTTACTCAAATTTGATATATCATTTCTCCTTGCCTGTGATAATATGGTCGAAGGATAATCACTTTCAGGAAAGAAATGGTACAGTCAGAATGTCTTAAGAGTTGTTACTTTCTTCTCGTCCAACTTTCATTGTGGTGCAACTGGAAACAACGTTTTCATATCCTATCATAAATACAAGGCACATATAAGAAATTCTGCGAATTTTCAGTATAGATATTTATTTATTTCAAGACAATACAATGAATCTAATCAGCGTCAGTATATATATTTTTTAACTCTTCATCTATTTGTTGAAAGTCTCCGAATCGAGGGATTCCGGGGTCCTCTTTACAGATTTTTTCTACAGTCCTCAAAATGGCAGTGGTATATCTTCTGTTTCGGTTTGGGAAACATCCGGATCTGTTAGTGCGCAAGATCTTAACTGCAGCGAGAGTGAGATCAGTCTTGATGTCCATCTCCAGCAAGTAGTTGGTCAGTATGATGGATTTGTACCAGTGAGCATTATCTTGAGTGTAGAATCCACTGGTCTGATTTCAAGATTTCTGACCTCTTGAGACAAGTTCATCAAAAGTGTTTGTAGGATAAATTTTCCAGGAGCCCGTAAATATTTACTCTCCAAAGAGTTGATCACCCCAACGTAATGATGACTAATATTTACCCAAACCATCTATCCTGACACATTATAATGAAGGCGTTTGGAAAAGATCCATCAAATATAGTCACCGATGCCCAAAGCAGGATAACAAAAAAGATCACTACAATAACACTACTATGATTAATCACAATAATGAGGACTTCCCATCCTAGAAATTCAGACAAGAAAAAACAATGGTGAAGAATATATATATATATATATTTTGCTTAAAATAAATGTTTTTTTTTTTTCTGAAATTAGATTAAGGAATTATTGAAGAGGCTCAGTATTTTTTGAATATTTGCATGAATCATTTTTTAAATCGTTATCAACCCCTCCCCCATGTGAGGTAGTAAAGCGACTAAAACACAAGGAGTTACATCGTGTGAAAGATTTAAAAACAGAAAGATTAAGAATGAGCGGGAAGATACAAGTGTAAACAGGAGAACAGTAGATAGCGATTGACAATGCATTTACATTTTTGCAGATTAAAGTTGGCTCGAAAGCATCTAGCTGGCAGGCAGATCCACAACCAGAAAGTGCGAGAAAATAAACTGTTAGCATAGAACTTACAGCTAGATCTAGCTAGCTCAAATGTAAATTGAGGAATAGTTTCATTCCTGCAATTTCTATGTTGCATAAACAAAGCAAACAGTGACTATCAAGTTAGTATTACTTATTGTTATGATGTAACACTTGATCCACTGCACATTAAATTGCATTTAATTCCTGATCGATTATTGAATAATTTTATACACTTAATTGTATTTATAAAAACAGAAAAGATTTCTTAACGAACTGTTTATATGAGAAAATCGTTCCATCGAGCTTATGAATTTTTAATCTATATTTTGAAATTCCCGATTTTTATAATTTCATTTAATTTTTATACTCTATTTTACGTTTTCACAACATCGCCCCCGTGACGCCGACGTGATCGTATTGCGAAACGGAACACTGATCTTAAGAAATTCAGTTATTCTGTTTTGATTAGTTTTGTGTCTATCGTCTTTTCATGTTGACTTGAATATCGTCTAATTTAAATTATGGTTTGATAACTATGCCCTGAAGAAGGTCTACTAAACCGAAACGTCTGACGTCGACATTGAAACAACATTAAAACAGCATACTTGCATATTCGGATTATTGTTTTTCCATATTTTCCGTCACGCTGTCAGATCTATATCCATATATTTGCTTACACTTATTATTGTTCACTCAAATATTTACTCGTAATATTCTTCCAGGCTCTCTCTCTCTCTCTCTCTCTCTCTCTCTCTCTCTCTCTCTCTCTCTCTCTCTCTCTATGTGTGTGTTCTCTTTTTCGTGAACTAAAGAGGTAATAGGTTACATGCTGGAAGATATCGGACAGGCAGAGAAAGCAAACGTGTAACTAACCCTAATTACTAGTGTCAAAGAATATATACAAAAGAATCAATTGCTATTCGATCAATGTATGAGTCATTACATAGTACATATGAACTTTACGGAGATATAGGGTCAAATGTCATTGATATTTGGAAAGAATCCATCAAATTTCAACGAAATGTGCAAAATAAATATGTCTCTGTCAGGAATGTGATCCATATAGAAACTTGTAATTGACTGAAATTTGAGAATGCAGGCCAATCATATATTCACACGCAAGAAGCTGTTAAAATAAACGAAAGATATGTTTTTGATATTCAAACGAGTAACAAAAGATCAAAGCAACAAGACCAGATATTGATTCATTTTCTACTATTTATCAACTCTTTGCAGGTTGTTTAAAACAGGAAAATATTTTCAGAATGCAAGAATGATTTTTTTAAAATAATTTTGTTGTAGTGATACAAGTCTTATTGATTAACCCATAGCTGGGGAAGATGAGGGGAATTCATTAATTTCCCCGTAGGACATTTGCGCATAAATAAATATAACGAACCCAACTGGAATTAGAACTTCCATTATACCACCAGCACATGCGAGCTTACAAGCACCCGATAATCCCATCGAGGGATTGACCAGGTTTGACGCTGCTTATCTTCGATGATCTTACGGGAATCTGTGTTTCAACGTGATGGGGTCATAAGCGTGAGAGCAAATATATATTATATCCTAATCAAGAAGAGCATTTTAAAAGTAAAAAATACAAATGACAAAATCACAGAATCATGGCAAAGAAATTTGACATCTGTCCTCATTATTATTATTTTATGTGCAGAGTTGTAAACAGCTTGGAAGAATTGAATATCGGATGAAAATGAAATGCCCAAAATACCAGTATCACTAAAATTATGATCTTTGTTTTATTTTGATTTTTTTTTCAGTTGAAAAATTTATAAATGTATTATAAGTTTGTTTGTTTGTTAAACTAATTGCTGCCATCCAGTGGTCTTCGATCTCGTAGTGAAATATTCTTTTAACAATTTTCCAAGCGTAGCTTAGATGTGGCACAAGGCAGAAAGAATTGGGTACCCAGTGAGGATCGACCTCACTACTTATTCGTAATTGTGCTAGCGAGACAAGCTTGCTAACCATTACACCGCTTCGGGTTCCCACGAAATATTCTAGTACAAGTGTAACAAGTAGAAACGGTATAAAAGAAATGAAATAACACACTCATAAACACATATATGTTAACCTATATCGGGCAATATAAATCACTCTTAATGATAACTGATGTTTAGTTGGTTTAAAAGTATCACCTGAAATAGAACATATAATAATCCCGACATAATATACCTGACCCCCTCCTCCACTAATCCAGTATGCAACACAAGGACTTTTTTTATAAGCGGGAACCCATACGCGTATATACGGACCAAGGACAAAATCTTGGCTGTCTCCGCGAGCCCTGATGTTACACTTAACCCATCATTCGTAGTTCAAAGAGGTGGGTGTTGGGATTCCCGGATCCAGACAGATTCATCCATTTAAAATGAGATTTCAAATAATAATTACATGATACAACGCATAGAATTTGTTTGGAGGTGTTTATATTGATTCATTCATCCATTTTCTACGACTTATCAACCTATTTAAGGTTATTTATAGCCAGAAACTATTTTTACATTGCAAGATTAATTTTTTATGGGGATGATAATGATTTCGTGATACAAGTCTTACTAATTAATCCATAACTGGGGGGGAGAAAAGATGGATTCATATCTTTCCCAATGTTTTTTTTAATCTAAGAAACTCAACTGGGATTGGAACTGGAATTGAAACTCAGCTCCGGGATTAACCATTCCCAGACATTATACACTACACTCCCTAAAATCCACGATTACAGTACCTAGTATTCCTTGGCTGCCACCCATCTCTCTGCTGGCCAGGCTCGAAGTTGTTTAACTTCTGTATCACATATTTGCCTGACCATCATTTTGGGGGCATATCACCTGGGGGTGACGCTCTGTCCCTCTCTGTTATTGAACGAAATTAGTAAGTGTGCGCCATTGCTCTGATGGAGACTGAAATTATTGAGTTACCCACTCTAAAGTTAGTTTTAAAAGCTCCCTAACCTCCAAGCTTATACACTGTAAACCCCGCATATCTTTGGCTTTGGTGCATGTACTTGTTTAAACATATCAGACTGGGTGTCATGATAGGTATATTGGACGTTCATATTCCAGGGTAGAGCGTGTTGTTCTCTATCTCAATACCACTGCTACTATTACTACTAATAAAGAAAAACAAGAAGTGTACCATATGATTCACACTTGTAAAATAATATCTCTATTCCTCACTAGGCAGTCGACTGCCGTTTCTTTCGGCGGCAGATTTGTTGCCTGTCGAGGCTATAGCTTTCCAGATACAAGTCTTGCTATTCACCTCATGGTTTGGGTGTACAAGAGATGGATTCATACCTCTTTCAAGGGAATTTGCGCGTAAATGAATATCAGGAACCCGACTGAAATTCGAACTCAGCTCTCCGATTTCTCATTCCCAGCTAGTATCCGTTACACCGCACTGCACATCCAAATGAGAAAAGGAGAGATAGGCAAAAGCAGGAATGTACCGAACTAACGAGCTTTCTATAAATGTTTGGCAAAACATGGAAAAATAAAACAGAAACCTAGTTTTGGAGATCTAATATTGCCGAAGTCTACAAGAGATGCAGCAAGAAGAAGAAGATGAAGAAGAAAAAGAAGTAGAGGTTGAATAAGAAGAGAGGAGGAGGAAGAAGAAGAAGAAGAAGAAGAGAGGAGAAGGACGAAGAAAAAAGAGGAGGACGACGACGGCAACGAAGAAGAAGAAGAGTAAAAAGAGGAGGAGGGGGAGGAAGAAAGAAAAAGAATAAGGAGGAGGAGGAGGAAGAAGAAGAAGAAGGGAGGAGGAGGAGGAAGAAGAAAAAGAAGACGGGGTGGAGTAAATAGAAGAAATGAAAGAAAGAAGGGGAAGAAGAAGAGGAGGGGAAGAAGGAGGAATGAAGAAGGGAAGAAGAAGAAGAAGAAGAAGAAGAAGAAGAAGAAGAAGAAGAAGAAGAAGAAGAAGGGGAAGGAGGAGGAGTAAGGAGGACTGAGGTGGAGGAAGAATAATAGGAGCAGTAGAAAGAAAAAGAATGGAGGAGGAGGAAGAAGAGGGGGTGAAGCAAGGAGAAAAAATGAAGAGAAGAAGAAGAAGAAGAAGAAATAGCAAAATCTGGAGAAAAATCGAAGCAACGCAAACATAAATATAAAGCCAAGAATAGCTAGAAAAAAACCTTCGTTCATTTACAACGATCTTTATAGTCTTTCTGTAAAGTCATTGAATACATTCAAAATATTAAAGAATAACAAAATAAATACAGGAAATATAAACGAGGGTGTTTCCCTTTTGGAAAAGGGTTAATTCTCATAAAATCGACTTAGAAGTTTTATTTCGGTTGATGGGTCACTGAGTCATCACTTCTGAAAAGCATTTATGGCATTTTCTTGCATCCTTATACCATTATCAAAAAGGTAATAAGATTAATGCTTTTATGTCTTGTTTGTTTAATTTATGCCAATTTTATTGTGGCAGAGCGACGTGTAACGTGTCCTTGCTTTCTGTTGCTGGCAGCTGTTATAGTTGAGTGTTTATTGAAAAAGATTTGATCAAATGCTGTATATGGCAGCATAAAATAAAGAGGAGCTTATTTTTCGCTATTCCATTAAAGCGGAAATGTAGGAAAATCGTTTTAAGTGTATGGAAGCATGTACTGATCAAAGTAAACTATCAGGAAATCACAAAATATTACAAAGGCATTTTAGCTATTGCAGAAAAATACTTTATATAAAAGCGACTTAGAATAGCTGACCGTAAAGCGAGAAATTGTAAAAATATCGTAGTTGAGTACAATAATAAAGCATGATGAATTTTATAAAAAGCAATCTATCATTACCGTTGAACATAAAACAAAATACTGTTTTAGATTATCACTATTTCCATTCAGTTACGTCTATTTTGTACCTCACCGATACTTCCATATGATGATTGCATATATACTACTTCCACTATTACTACTACTACTACTATTATTACCACCACCACCACCACTACTACTACTACTACTACTAATAATAATAATAATAACAATAATAATAGTAATAATAACAAAAATAATATTTATTATGGAACAGAACGTATTTTCAAATTTGTAGCAAAAGCGTTTCCAGTCGTAACGTTATGTTTTGTTCCATACTTTTCTTACTGGCTCTGAATAGTAAATGTCTTCTATTATTTATAGTTCAAATATTTTCTTAAATATTCTTATATATTTGATGACAATTTTATATTCTTTTTTTATTGTTTGCTTATTTATTTTCTTTTATTATCATTGAAAATAATAATAATAATAATAATAATAATAATAATAATAATAATGATAATAATATGTTACAATTCTATGGGACTACACAATAGACACTGACAGAACGATCAAAGCCAACCGCCCAGATATTGTTATCAAAGACCACAAACAAAAACGGTGCCTCCTTATTGATATGGCAGTCTGCTGACTGCAGTGTATCTTTGAAGATATTCAAAAAGCTGTCAAAATACAAGGACCTTGAAATACAAATCTCAAAAATGTGGCTATGGGAACATCAACAATCCCTGTTGTAGTTGGAGCCCTAGGACTGGTTGGAAAAGATTGCAGTAGACTAATTGAAGGGATTCCTGGAAGTCCATGCCTCAAGGAGATACAAAAAAATTGTTCTGACAAGTACAGACCGCACTTTACGAAGAGCTTTACCTATGTAATTTTTTTTTGTCAGTAGAAAGTGTCATGATGCCATTTCTAACCTTTGGTCCCTGGGCGGGACCCGGAAAGAAATGTGTAAACGCCAGAAATCAAAGAAAATAAAAATAATAATAATAATAATAATGCTTAAAGAATGATACGTTTGATAACGAACTTTTTTACTTCGACATCGATTATAAAATATACGTGTATGTGTTTATATATATATATATATATATATATATATATATATATATATATATATATATATATATATATATATGTATAAATCGTCAGCTGGGAGGAGGTAGTGCATCTACGAGAAGGAAATATTTTTTTAAACCTTTACTGTCTTGCGGGTATACACAATCATGAGAAAGAATTCAGGAGTAAACCCTGAAGACAATCCGTTGCCCGAGTCCCTAAGACAGTCTGATGTTAGTGTGGCATCTTATGCGAGACTGTCACTCCCATGTGCGCCTGCACAGCCATAACATTTGCGCTGACGCCACTAGCAGCTGAAATATATCGTTGAGGGCGCGGAGCCATGGTCTCTCAAAAGTGATGGACGCCACACTTTAGATACAACTAAAAGATTCTTGTTATAATAATAATAATAATAATAATAATAATAATAATAATGGCAGGAATGATAATAAATGCATAAAAAACTCCCTGTGGCCCAGTAATAGTGTGGTGATACCTGGCGGGAAATAGCCGAGCCTCACGTGCAAGCCGAATTCGTTCGTTTTTGTCGACAGTCGTCCCAGAGGTGGTACCTTGAACAAAATTACCCCTTGCTGGTTAAGAATTAAACTTAAAAATGAATATAAATCTCAATCTTTACAAACAAAATTCATACAGAATAACCCGGATGAACAAATCCCCGTTCCTCCGAGAGGAAACTGTCCGGTTTCGAAAAGTCGATCACCAAAACAAGCAATTCCACTAAGAATTAGATACATCGTCCCCAAAACCGGATTAGTTGCAACATTGGACTTAGTTATTTAATGCCAAATCAATTAATAAAAATAAATCGAATGAATCGTGAAGAGTATACTTACTTTTTAACTACAGCCGAAAATCCAAAAAATAACATCACCGATCAGACATTTCAAATATGTAGAGATATGGTATGTACTGAAACAAGATCCTGCCCTGTTCCAAATATGTTTGTCAATGTCCAGAGGGACATCACGTAAGATAAAAGTCTCTCAGAAACAAAGATAGGATAAAACTAAATATAAGACAAAGTACAATCAAACATAATCTAAACAAAAATGAGAAATGAAGAGAATTAGATAAAATGACATAAGACAAGATAGAAATAATGATTTTTCAGGAAATAAAACAGAAGAACCTAGGTGTGACATAAATAATTGCAGATTCAGATTCTGTCACTGATAAAGATGAATCAAAAAGCATTAGAGCAGAATTCCTTGAAGACAGCAGAGTTGAAATCACTGATGCGAAAAATCAAATCATTCAAATAAACAAAGTAACTCACACACAAACATCAGAAAGAGGCTGGCTTCCAAAATGTGATATGACAAAGTCCAGTAATCATCGTGCAAACATATAACACTGCATTGCAAACATTGAGAAGAGACAGATAACAAGAAAACATCACATAAGTAAATAATGTCATAGAAGCAACGGCTTTGGCAGCTACTCAAAACTTTACATCAGGACATATGTAAAATTAAACAGCAGACAAAAACAGCCCAAAGGCAAAATTAGAGCGAGAATTGAGGAAATCTGATGCGAATTATCGATACTAGATGAGATTTCAAGAAATTCAAATCTTTCAACACGGAAAAGCAAGAATATCCAGCAGAAATATAGAATTAAAGCAGTAAATGAAATCGCATCAATGAAGGAAATACTTAAACAGAAACTGCAATTAAAGGCACAGAGAAAAAATACTATACGAAAAGCGGTGTAGGTTGTATTGACAAAATAAACGAACCTCAAAATGTTTTACAGGGACATTGGAAAAGCAGTTTTAGAAGTCAAAGAGCCACCTTATGTTTTCCTGTTTGTTACAAATAATGTTTAGTGGAAAATGTCATGAAGCCTTTCCTGACAATAGATCTTGTGTTGGGAACCGGTAGTAAATTTTTACACAACAAATAAAAATAATATTATAAGAATAATATTAATAAATTTCTGACCTTAGGTCTCTAGATGCAACCTCGAAGGAAATGATGATGACTAACGTTTGATTAACCTCGCGAGGTCATGGTAGTACTATATTTGGTCAAAATTCAGTACTTTGTTGTGAAAACATGATGGCTTCTCCAGGGCAATGATATATGGAGGCCGCATAATGCTTAGACTATATGCCAACTTCCGCAACACTAGTCCATAATGACAAGATCGAAAGTAATAAATGAATGTTTTCCAAAGTTGACAGCCAACGACCTTTGTGTGTCTTCACCAGATTTTCTGTCTGGATTTATTTCCATAACATTTTAGGGAGGTTTAAGATCAGAGATTTTCATCCTCCATGTCATGAAAAAGTTTAATTTTAACAGTAAAAAATGATGTAGTTATAGATACAAAATTAGTTAATATATAAATATATAAAAATGTTCTTAATATCTTATTTTGAAACGTTATAAACAAAGAAAAAAAAATAAAATCATTTCATCCCAAGCAAGGCAGGAATGCCACTTGTACGCAGATGGTTACAGAGAGTGAAGATGCGAGATAAGGTTATAAGTTATAGTGAGGACCGAGGAAAATGATAAAAGAGGTTCAAGAAAATAGAAGATGGTGTTTGAAGTTGCATTTAAACTTTTAATATTGTAGTTGTCATGTAAACAAGGTAACGAAAAGGAGATCAAATTGCGAGAAAAGAACCTTTTGCAGTAGAAGTGGCGGTTACATTGAAATGAATCAGCAGTAAAAGGGTGGGAACATGATGCCAATCAAGTAGCACACTTAAACTCACTTAGTCGCTACTAAGAAAAAAGCTTGTCAGAGCAGTTGCCATTAAAATATGTGTACAAAAGACAGAGAAAAGCCACGTCGTGTTGTTGAGAAAAAAGTCGAGATGCCAACACAGGATCGATTACATTTCAGATCCTTCATTGAATTTTGAGATGAGTAGGAGGTGCACCAGACCAGATGTGGCAACATTATTCAATGCAGAGACGAATGGTAGATTTCTAAATGTGCAACATGGTCTCTAACGAGAAAATCTTTTTAGCACGACACAGTGACCCAACATTTCTTGCAGTAGATATGTAGTCCTTTCACTTAAAATCTGTTGTAAAAGTGAGGCGAAGACGGCGCAGTCTGTTGCTCTCCATGAGTCTAGCAGCAGCCATGTTATTGGTGGGCAGGAAAGACTCTCTATGATGATTAAATGAGATCAGTTTCGTTTTGGAGTGATTAAAATTCATGAGCCATTTCCTGCTTCAATTAACCACAGATTGGAGGTCCTTTTCAAAAGCAGCTGCC